TGTTTCGAAGATTAGGAAAAATTCGATTCGCGCCGAATCCGAAAATTAGCAAACTTCGGATGCACGAATCGAATTTTCCCAAAAATGGCGGCGACATGTGTGGCAACGGAGCGGGGATCTCTGGGAAGGCGCGCAGACAAGGCGCGCTGACCCATAATGCATTCATTCATGACATGTGATCGCATTAGCCAATCAGCAGCCAGCCAGCACTGTGTAATGGTGGAGCTATAAATCGCGGCCATCTTAGAATTCTCCATTAGCCTCCGGTCATTCAAGAGAGACAGACCTGTCTGTATTAGGGACAGAGTTAGGGCCACAGAGACTTTAGGGCCACAGAATCGTTACTCAGGGACACAGAATCGTTACTCAGGGACACAGAATTGTTACTCAGGGACACAGAATTGTTACTGAGGGACACAGAATCGTTACTGAGGGACACAGAATCGTTACTGAGGGACACAGAATCGTTACTCAGGGACACAGAATTGTTACTGAGGGACACAGAATTGTTTACACAGAATTGTTACTCAGGGACACAGAATCGTTACTCAGGGACACAGAATTGTTACTCAGGGACACAGAATCGTTACTCAGGGACACAGAATTGTTACTCAGGGACACAGAATCGTTACTCAGGGACACAGAATCGTTACTCAGGGACACAGAATCGTTACTCAGGGACACAGAATCGTTACTCAGGGACACAGAATCGTTACTCAGGGACACAGAATCGTTACTCAGGGACACAGAATCGTTACTCAGGGACACAGAATCGTTACTCAGGGACACAGAATCGTTACTCAGGGGACACAGAATCGTTACTCAGGGACACAGAATCGTTACTCAGGGACACAGAATCGTTACTCAGGGACAGACACAGAATTGTTACTCAGGGACACAGAATCTGTTCCCTGAGAATCGTTACTCAGGGACACAGAATCGTTACTCAGGGACACAGAATCGTTACTCAGGGACAGACAGAATTGTTACTCAGGGACACAGAATTGTTTCTGAGAATCGTTACTCAGGGACACAGAATCGTTACTCAGGGACACAGAATCGTTACTCAGGGACACAGAATTGTTACTGAGGGACACAGAATCGTTACTCAGGGACACAGAATCGTTACTCAGGGACACAGAATCGTTACTCAGGGACACAGAATTGTTACTGAGGGACACAGAATCGTTACTCAGGGACACAGAATTGTTACTCAGGGACACAGAATTGTTACTCAGGGACACAGAATCGTTACTTTCTGCTTCACAACCACTATTGTACGTTCAAAGAGTTAAATCCTGTTTTATGTTTGGGGTGCTTATTGAATTAAAGAGTATGTCAGACAACACGCAGAGGAGTGGCAGAGGAGGCAATGTTTCAGGAGCGAGCAGACGTGGCAGCAGAGGAAGGGGTCGAGGCAGCACTAGTCGCAGCCAGAGGCCAGTGCTCCCGGTGTCATCCAGCGGTCGTGTCTCCACCGACAACCCTGCCGTCATCGATTGGTTGACTCGGTCGTCTTCCTCTTCCCAGGTCACCTCTGACACCTACAGCCAACGGTCGGTGGGTACGTCAGACACAACCGTTAGTTGGCATGGCCCGGGAGCAAGCCCACTGAAATCACGTGTCCTCTACCTGCCCCTGTCCTTTGGTGTTCCCTCACCAAGCGAAGTATCGCATGCTGTGGGCTCAGCCCCACTGTACAGTGAGGAAGAGCTAACAGAGGGCGGTCAGGAACGGGGGGAGACATCCGCCTCTTCAGCAGCCAGGCGAAGAAGTACTGGCGAGGAGAGTGGCTCGGTAGCCGGTCTAGAGACAGGTCTGTCTCCTGACCCACACGCAGCCGAGGGGGCTAGTAGTGAGGCGGAGACCCTAATTGATGATGATGAGGCTGATCGCACTTGGCAGCCTCGTCGTCATCAGGCTATTGCTTCCGCATCATCAGGAGAAGAGGGTGCCAGCTTGCAGCGAGCAAAACAGTCGGTGGGTTGCCCAGGAGGCAGCAGGGTCGCAGCAGTGTCAGTGGAGGCAAACGGCCACGGAGTAGAGCACCAGCTCCACTGCAGCCTACCACCACGGCCAGTAGTGGTGCCGGTGTGCACGGAGGAAGTAGCAGTCAGCCAGTGAGGAGTAGCGGGGGGGGCAAAGTTTCCTACTCTCGGGGGTGTGTGGCAATTTTTCGTCAAGCCGCCCGAGGAAGTAAACGTAGCCGTATGTCGACTATGTGGCCAGAAAGTCAAGCGTGGCCAGGGGGCCCATGTTGGGACTACAGCGTTGCGTCAGCATATGCAGCGTCGCCATTCGGTGGCCTGGGAAAACCGTGATAAAGATACGGCGGTTCTGCCTGCCCCAGCCCCCGCTCCATCACCCGCTCCGTTACTTGCTCCGTCACCCGACGTCAATCGCCCTCTATCAGCCAGTCAAGGCTCCAACACCTCTGCTGAGGGGAGTTGTCGCTCGTTGGCATCTTCCGCTCGTTCAGATGCTCCTTCTCCTGCTACTCCTCTTCACGGATTCCGTCAGCAGTCTTTCTTGGAATCCGTTTCCAAGAGACAACAGTTTGCGAGCACGCACCCGACGGTGCAGAAGCTGAACGTCCTCCTGTCCAAGTTGCTGGTGCTGCAGTCCCTCCCTTTCCAAGTGGTGGACTCAGCACCTTTCCGAGAAATGATGGCTTGTGCCGCCGCCGCGGTGGAGAGTGCCAAGCCGGCATTTCTTCGCCAAAAAGGCAGTGCCAGCCCTGCATTCACATGTAGAAGAAGAGATGGTGGGCCAGTCTTTGAGCATGTCGGTCTCTGCCAAAGTGCACGGCAGCGCCGACGTGTGGAGCTGTAACTACGGTCAGGGACAGTACATGTCATTTACGGCCCACTGGGTGAACGTGGTGCCGGCACAGCCGCACCAGCAACTTGGACAGGTCACGCCGCTTTTGCCTCCACGTTTGCACGTCCTTGGTCCAGCAAAGATGTCCGCCTCTACCACCTCTTCTTCCGCCGTGTCCTCAGCCGCCACCCCCGTGCCAAGTCCCATTACCCGACCGGCATATCACATGTGCAGGGCGCAACGGTGTCACGCTGTGCTGCACCTGGTATGCCTTGGCGAACGTAGTCACACAGGGGAGGAACTTCTGAGTGTAATGAACAGAGAAATCGACAGATGGCTGTCTCCGCGCAAACTGAAAATCGGAACCATGTTGACCGACAACGGAAAGAACATGGTGTCTGCTCTGCGTCAAGGAAGGTTGTGCCATGCGCCATGCATGGCTCACGTGTTCAATCTGGTTGTCAAGCGGTTCCTAAAATCCACCATCCCACTGCAAGACATCCTTAAAATGTCACGTAAACTTTGCATGCATTTCAGCCATTCCTACACCGCAAAGCACACCCTCCTTGAGCTGCAGCGGCAGAACGGAATTCCACAGCATCGCCTGATCTGCGACGTTGCAACAAGGTGGAATTCAACCCTACATATGTTAGACCGCCTTTACGAACAGCGAAAGGCCATCACCGATTTCCTGATGTTACAAGCGGATAAAGGTACTCCCCTGTGTAACTTAGATGTCAGCCATTGGCAGCTCATGCGTGACACCTGCCGCTTGCTCAGGCCCTTTGAGGAGGCCACGCTATTCGTGAGTCGGCAGGACTATGGGGATGAACGACGTCATTCCTCTGTTGCACGTCCTGGAACAAATGCTGTTAACAATGGCTGGTCAGGGTGCGGTAGACGTGGCGCACAGATCTCAACGCCACATGACCCCTGTGGGGGCAGGACAGGAAGAAGAGGAGGGAGGTAGAGGAGGACATTGGTGCTCAGGAATTATTGAGTGAAATGGGTGGTTTTTTCCACTCAGCGGACAGGAGTGGAGGAGCAGGAGCATCTGGTAGAGGAGGAGGAGGAGACAGAGGACCCAGACGCACCGTGGCAGTATGCTGTGGAGATGGAGGCAGGGAGTCCCTCGCATTCCTTGGCACAAATGGCCCATAGCATGCTCGGTTGCTTGCGTAGCGACAGCCGAATAATAACCATCAGACAGAGGGATGACTTTTGGCTGTCCACCTTGTTGGACCCTCGCTACCGTTCAAAAATGGTGGCCTTTTTCACACCTGCTGAGAGGGAGGCCAAAATAACGTACTATAAAAACCACCTATGTAGTCAGTTGGTCTCTGCCTTTCTGCGCCAACGTCCATCCTCAGACACTGTGGGCCCTGTGCGCTCGCGTTCCGCTGCCATGGCAGCAGGGGAGGGGTGGGGTGGTAGGAGCAGTGGCAGCTCCACCAGCAGCGGCTGCCTCAGTCTGCAGTCGATGATGAGTAGCTTTCTTCACCAGCGCAGTGAGGAAACTACTAACCAGCCGCAGCAGCAGCAGCATCAGGTGGACCTGGAGCAGGACCTCAAACAACAGGCTTGGGCCTACTTGGACAGCACCCTGCCAACCGAGGTAGACAATCCCCTTGACTACTGGGCAACGAAACTTGACCTTTGGCCCCAACTAGCTGAATTTGCCCTTGAAAGGCTGTCATGCCCGGCCAGTAGCGTGGCATCGGAGCGCGTGTTTAGTGCGGCAGGAGGTATTGTAACTCCGCGGAGGACACGACTGTCCACCCAAAGTGTGGAGAGACTCACGTTTGTGAAAATGAATCAGGCGTGGATTAGTCTGGATTTCAAACCACCAGTTCCTGACACAACTGACTAAATCCGCCATGAATCATGCCCCAAACATGTTATTATTTTTAACATAGGCCTCTGTATGGCCTTCAATTTAAGCTGCTTACGCTTCGCCACTCTGCCATGGGCCCCTGTAATCTGTACCGCCTCCTCTTGCTGCTGCCAGGTCCAGAGTGTGTCATGGGTCCCTGTACGGCCTCCCATTGCTGCTGTCTCCATCGCCACACTCTGCCATGTGCCACTTTCAGGTCTCCTCACACTGCTGGTGGTTCCATTTTGTCATAGGGTGCTGGCAGATTACGGGCCTCCCATTGCTGCTGCCAGGCCCGTAATCTGCCATGGGCCCCCGTACCGACTCCTCATGCTGCTGCCAGGCCCGTAATCTGTCATGGGCCCCTGTACCGCCTCCTCATGCTGCTGCCAGGTCCAGAGTGTGTCATGGGTCCCTGTACGGCCTCCCATTGCTGCTGTCTCCATCGCCACACTCTGCCATGTGCCACTTTCAGGTCTCCTCACACTGCTGGTGGGTTCCATTTTGTCATAGGGTGCTGGCAGATTACGGGCCTCCCATTGCTGCTGCCAGGCCCGTAATCTGCCATGGGCCCCCGTACCGACTCCTCATGCTGCTGCCAGGCCCGTAATCTGTCATGGGCCCCTGTACCGCCTCCTCATGCTGCTGCCAGGTCCAGAGTGTGTCATGGGTCCCTGTACGGCCTCCCATTGCTGCTGTCTCCATCGCCACACTCTGCCATGTGCCACTTTCAGGTCTCCTCACACTGCTGGTGGGTTCCATTTTGTCATAGGGTGCTGGCAGATTACGGGCCTCCCATTGCTGCTGCCAGGCCCGTAATCTGCCATGGGCCCCCGTACCGACTCCTCATGCTGCTGCCAGGCCCGTAATCTGTCATGGGCCCCTGTACCGCCTCCTCATGCTGCTGCCAGGTCCAGAGTGTGTCATGGGTCCCTGTACGGCCTCCCATTGCTGCTGTCTCCATCGCCACACTCTGCCATGTGCCACTTTCAGGTCTCCTCACACTGCTGGTGGGTTCCATTTTGTCATAGGGTGCTGGCAGATTACGGGCCTCCCATTGCTGCTGCCAGGCCCGTAATCTGCCATGGGCCCCCGTACCGACTCCTCATGCTGCTGCCAGGCCCGTAATCTGTCATGGGCCCCTGTACCGCCTCCTCATGCTGCTGCCAGGTCCAGAGTGTGTCATGGGTCACTTGTACGGCCTCCATTGCTGCTGTGCTGCCAGGCCCTCATTAATCTGCCATGGGCCCAGGTACTCCTCTCATGCTGCTGCCAGGCCCGTAATCTGTCATGGGCCCCTGTACCGCCTCCTCATGCTGCTGCCAGGTCCCGAGTCTGTCATGGGTCCCTGTACGGCCTCCCATTGCTGCTGTCTCCATCGCCACACTCTGCCATGTGCCACTTTCAGGTCTCCTCACACTGCTGGTGGGTTCCATTTTGTCATAGGGTGCTGTAGGCCTCCCATTGCTGCTGCAGGCCCGTAATTGCCATGGGCCCCCGTACCGACTCCTCATGCTGCTGCCAGGCCCGTAATCTGTCATGGGCCCCTGTACCGCCTCCTCATGCTGCTGCCAGGTCCAGAGTGTGTCATGGGTCCCTGTACGGCCTCCCATTGCTGCTGTCTCCATCGCCACACTCTGCCATGTGCCACTTTCAGGTCTCCTCACACTGCTGGTGGGTTCCATTTTGTCATAGGGTGCTGGCAGATTACGGGCCTCCCATTGCTGCTGCCAGGCCCGTAATCTGCCATGGGCCCCCGTACCGACTCCTCATGCTGCTGCCAGGCCCGTAATCTGTCATGGGCCCCTGTACCGCCTCCTCATGCTGCTGCCAGGTCCAGAGTGTGTCATGGGTCCCTGTACGGCCTCCCATTGCTGCTGTCTCCATCGCCACACTCTGCCATGGGCCACTTTCAGGTCTCCTCACACTGCTGGTGGGTTCCATTTTGTCATAGGGTGCCTGTACGGCCTCCCATTGCTGCTGCCAGGCCCGTAATCTGCCATGGGCCCCCGTACCGACTCCTCATGCTGCTGCCAGGCCCGTAATCTGTCATGGGCCCCTGTACCGCCTCCTCATGCTGCTGCCAGGTCCAGAGTGTGTCATGGGTCCCTGTACGGCCTCCCATTGCTGCTGTCTCCATCGCCACACTCTGCCATGTGCCACTTTCAGGTCTCCTCACACTGCTGGTGGGTTCCATTTTGTCATAGGGTGCTGGCAGATTACGGGCCTCCCATTGCTGCTGCCAGGCCCGTAATCTGCCATGGGCCCCATGCGTACCGACTCCTCATGCTGCTGCCAGGCCCGTAATCTGTCATGGGCCCCTGTACCGCCTCCTCATGCTGCTGCCAGGTCCATTGTGTGTCATGGGTGCTGCAGATTACGGCCTCCCATTGCTGCTGCCAGGCCCGTAATCTGCCATGGGCCCCCGTACCGATCCTCATGCTGCTGCCAGGCCCGTAATCTGTCATGGGCCCCTGTACCGCCTCCTCACCGACTCGCCTCATGCTGCTGCCAGGCCCGTAATCTGTCATGGGCCCCCTTTACCGCCTCCTCATGCTGCTGCTGCCAGGTCCAGAGTGTGTCATGGGTCCCTGTACGGCCTCCCATTGCTGCTGTCTCCATCGCCACACTCTGCCATGTGCCACTTTCTGGTCTCCTCACATGG